TAATTAACCGATAAAGTCAAAGTAAATGCAATAACATTGAATCCCTTTTGGAGTTAGTTACGTTGATGTTTCAAGGACAAATCACTATGGAATAATTGTTTGTTAACATGTCCACATCATCAATACGAGAAGAAATTTAAAGAAATCACTACCTCTGAGACGAAATTTAAAGAAATCAATACCTTCGTCCCACGTATCGTGTCTGATACACTATAGACACGGTATTTTAGGAAAGGTGTAATTAGTAGATAATTAAGAATATATTAGTGAAAATAATTATCCTATAATATAAATAATTATAAATTAAGATTAAAATAACTAATTAGTTTAATTAAAATTTTAAAAAAATAAAATTAAAAAATTTAAAATGAGATTAGAATGTATAATCATTTTTTTTAAAAAAAGAAAATTACATGGTATGTGGGACGGACAGAAATGGCAACGTGGACATGATATGTGAGATGATATGTGAGACAGAGAGAGTATTATTTATTATTATTATTATCATCATTATTTTTTATTTTTTAATTTTTATTTTTATTTTGATAAATGTAAAAATTCGTAACCGTTACTCGATCAGTGCGCTTTGGGTAAATTCCTGATTTAGTCTAATATCCAATAAATTACCCTTGACAACGTAAATCACACTAGGCAAGTCTCCAAAAATTTGAGGGTTTGTGTGTTTTTGTTTGGATTTAAATTTAGTTTATTTGAATTTGAATTTAAATATTATTATGATGTCGTATTTTTATAAAAAAATATTATATTTTTATTAAATATTTTATAAAGTTATTTTGTGTTCACTTTGTTTTTTGAAATATACTCCCTCTATCCCACCACAATTGATACTATTTTCATTTTATTTGCCCCGTAACAATTGACACATTTTTATTTTTGGTAAAAATTATTAAATCAAAATATATTTAACAAATATAAATCAACTTAATTAACTATATAATATACAACATCATAAATGACTTGACACCCATTCAAAACCTTTTTATTTCTATCTCTCTTTAAAAGTACATATCTTTTATAAAATTAATTTATGTTAATTATAAATAAAAAAATATTTTTTTTATTTACTTGTATTATAGAAAATTTTATTATCTACAAATATCCATATTGCGTATATTTTTTAATTGCTATTTAATTTTTGAATATTTAAACATATATTTTAATTTTTTTAATCATATATATTAAATTTACTTTAAAATTATAAATATTATTAATTACATATTAAAATAATATAATAATATCATAACTCATTATTATTAACTAATTAAATATCCACATCTTAAATACCGTGTCCTTAATCGAAGGGTTCAATTCCAGTGAGATGGAGGGAGATATATTTTTATGTTATGGTACATATTGTATTGGTAATATAAAAAAAATTAATATTTTGTATTAAATTGTTGATTGTTTTGTAAATGAATAATATATAGGAGTATTATATATAATATAGAAAATGATGAAAAAAAAAAGAAGAAAAAAACACAAATGTACTATTTTGGTTTGGGGGTTTGGATTTTGATTTGAGATTTGAATAGTAAAAATTTTGAATTTGAATAGTTGTATGATGTGATATAAATAGATGTTGATGTGATATTTTGAATGTAAAATTGATTTTTAGTATAATATAAAAAATAAAAAATAAATATTTGATTTGATATTTTTTGAAAAAAAATGGAATGAATAGTGAAAATGTAATCCAATCCTCCAAACAAACACACCCTTATGAATGTTTTGTTTCAACCTATACTGATGTTGATTTGATTTTTAAATTTAATTTAAATAATATTTTAACATGATAGTTTATAATAAGAAATAATATACTTTTATGAAGAATTATACAAACTATATTTTTTATTTGAAATAAAAAATAATAATATAATTATAGTTATTTATTATAATTACAATGGTATAATTTTACAATATATACTTGTTATTGTATTTGTAATACTCTCTTCGTCCCAAAAAGAAGTATTCATTTGTTTTTTCACGTAGTTTTAGAAATATTAGTATTATATTGGGATATAGTAAGAATAAAGTAGAAACGACTAAAATAACTTTGTTAGTATGTGTGATATAAAGGTAATGACATTTGTGTAATATATTGTAAGTTGTAAGGGTATTTGTAATATTAGGTAGATAGTACAGTTACTAAAAAAGAAAATAGATGCTTTGTTATGGAACGGAGTAAAATGAATCGCTCCCGAAAGGGAATCTATTGATTCTCTCCCAATTGGTTGGACCGTGGGTGCGATGATTTACTTCACGGGCGAGGTCTCTGGTTCAAGTCCAGGATGGCCCAGCTGCGCCAGGGAAAAGGATAGAAGAAGCATCTGACTACTTCATGCATGCTCCACTTGGCTCGGGGGATATAGCTCAGTTGGTAGAGCTCCGCTCTTGCAATTGGGTCGTTGCGATTACGGGTTGAATGTCTAATTGTCCAGGCAGTAATGATAGTATCTTGTACCTGAACCGGTGGCTCACTTTTTCTAAGTAATGGGGAAGAGGACCGAAACATGCCACTTTAATGGGGAAGAGGACCGAAACATGCCACTGAAAGACTCTACTGAGACAAAGATGGGCTGTCAAGAACGTAGAGGAGGTAGGATGGGTAGTTGGTCAGATCTAGTATGGATCATACATGGACGGTAGTTGGAGTCGGCGGCTCCCCCAGGGTCCTTCATCTGAGATCCCTGGGGAAGAGGATCAAGTTGGCCCTTGTGAACAGCTTGATGCACTATCTCCCTTCAACCCTTTGAGCGAAATGCGGCAAAAAAAAAGGAAGGAAAATCCATGGACCGACCCCATCATCTCCACCCCGTAGGAACTACGAGATCACCCCAAAGGCGCCTTCGGCATCCAGGGGTCACGGACCGACCATAGAACCCTGTTCAATAAGTGGAACGCATTAGCTGTCCGTTCAAAAGAGCATTAGAGTTTTAGAAAAAGTAGAAAAAAAATATTCTATTAGTTCGAAAAAAAAAATTATATAAATTTGTTAGAATACACGTAATAACATTTTAATATTAAAATAATATATAAAATTATAATAAATTAGTTTCGGGTTTATGGTTGAAATTATTAAAAATTGATAAAAGAAAATAATAGAATAAATAAAAAATTATAACAAATTAATTATTATTTATTAAAGTAAATATTATAAAATTTTGAATGAATGAAATTATTTATTATAAATGAATTTGAAATAAATTTAGCGGATGATCAAAATATAAATAATATAATAATTTTAGCGGATAAATAAAATATTTAGTATATTGTAACTATATATATTGAATGCTATTCTTAGTATATATATATACACAATATTATTAATGAAATGTATCTTAAATAAAAAATAAATAATTTATGTAATATATTTTTAAAAAAGATATTAATAAAAAAATATTTATCGAAATAAATATTATTGACTCCATCATGTTATAAGAGTTGCACTTTTAATATTTGGATGTCTATTTACAAGATTTATATTTCATTTTTAATAACTAACTATTGCACCACTCATTACAAATACATTTTTAATCACACTTATTTACATACACCATTTTATTACAAATAAAATCAAAGGCTAAATTTGTCTTTTAACTTAAAAACCATAAACTATTACTCCCTCCATTCCAGATACTGTGTCTGATGCACTGTAGATATAGTATTTTAGAAAGGGTGTAATTAGTAGATAATTAAGAATGTATTAGTGAAAATAATTATCCTATAATATAAATAATTATAAATTAAGATTAAGATAACTAATTAGTTTAATTAAAATTTAAAAATATAAAATGAGATTAAAGTATGCAATTATTTTTCAAAAAAAGGAAAGTGACATGGTATGTGGGACGGACAGAAACGACAACGTGGACATGATATCTGGGACGGAGGGAGTATTATAATACATTATTTTTTAATTTTTGTGTCAAAAGTAAATACTCCCTCTGTTCTACTATAATTGACACTATTTTTATTATTGTATGTCCATTAATAATTGACATATTTCTATATTTGATAAAAATTATTAAATCTAAACATATTTAACAAACATAAATCAACTTAATTAACTACATAACATATAACATCATAAATGACGTAGAACCTATTCAAAATCCTTTTATTCTATCTCTCTTAAAAAAAAATAAATATTTTTATCTATATTTAAAACTACACATCTTTTATAAAATTTATATGCTATTTATAAATAAACAAAAATATTTTTTTACTTGTATTATAGAAAATTTTATTCTCTACAAAATGATATCCATATTACATATAGTTTTTAATTGCTATATAATTTTTAAATATTTAAACATATATTTTGATTTTTTTAATCATATATATTAAATTTACTTTCAAACTATAAATATTATTAATTATATAAAAAATAATATCATAATTAATTATTATTAACTAATTAAATATTTTTAACTTAAATACAGTATTCCTAATCAAAAGATTCAATTTCGGTGGAATGAAAGAAGTATATTTTTGGTGAGGACGAAAGGAGTACAACTTTTTAAAATATGTATGATATGGTGTCATAGTGTACCATATTAAAAAAATTCGATAAAATATCGTGTTGAAATTTTGATATACTGAAATTTTCGATGATTTTTTCATACTCCCTCTTTCGGTATTTCTAAACCCGTAACTCCAGGAGGGATCAACCGCTACACTCCCTCTTCACGGAACATAGTTTTATTTTTTTTTTATTATTATTATTTTTATTACGTGAGAATCCGTAGCGATTATCCGAAAATATACCAATTAAATAAATTTTGAGCCGAATTTAATACTATATAAATTAAATCCTATAAACAAATCACAACTAACCTTTAAAAAAAAAGAATCTAACAGCTCCAATAATTGTGAGTGGCAGTCCCCATTCCTAATGAATATATCTATTTTGAAAGAAATTCGATTTCGAGAGAGAGAGAGAGAGAGTAGAGAGCGAAGAGAAGTGAGAGAAAGAGGTGAGAGAGATAACTCAAATCGTAAAGAAGAAGCAGAGAGAGAGAGAGAGAGAGAGTTAATGGCTGATGATGACGATGATGATCCTTCTCACTGTCACTCCACACCGTAAAATTAAAGAGGCATCTTTCAGTAATCCCAATTCAAAAATGACAGATTAATTCACAGAAATTAATCCCAATTCCCCTTCCCCTTTATGGCCATTCTCTGTAACTCCAACCCCCATGAGAGAGAAACCCTCGATCTCCATAAAAGCAGAAACATTCACAATAAAGCTTTAGCTGCTTAGTGGGAAAAAAGTTCTTTTTCTTGTACACAATGTTATGATTAATTGATGCTCATCATCATTGTGCCTGCCCGCCTGCCTGCCCATTTCTCTCTCTCTCTCTCTCTCTCTCTCTTAAACTTCATCCATTTCTCTATCTACCCCAGTCCATGAAGATGCTCTTCTGAGACGCCATGGCCGACGACAACTGCGGCTGTTGGGCTATTCTCCGGCGCACCTGCAGTTCCTCCGATTCCAGAACCTCCCCCAACGCCATCCCCCGGAGCAGCCTCGTTTACGATGCCGCCGGTATTTATTATCATCTCCCTCTCTCTCTCTAAATAATTTCTGCAATTCGATCGATCTGATCAGATCATACTTACAAGTGTTTAAATTAAATTGTTCTGTTGCCACAGAGACGAGATATTTGAACGCCAGCAATCGAGAAATGTGCGCTCCCGACAACGATGGTCGCAACTCGCCGGAAAATCCCACCGCCGATCCAGATAAAAAAATTCTGGCGCCGCAGCGACAGCTTCTTAAATTCAGCTTCCAAGAGCTGAAGGCGGCGACGGGGAATTTCAGGCCGGACAGCATTCTTGGTGAAGGTGGTTTTGGATATGTATTCAAAGGATGGATAGAGGAGAATGGCACGTCACCGGCGAAGCCCGGCTCCGGCGTCACGGTGGCGGTGAAGAGCCTGAAGCCCGACGGCCTTCAAGGCCATCGAGAATGGGTGGTTAGTTAGTTTGTAGATCATAAGGTTGTCCACAATTCGATTTTTTTCGAAAAGAGTTTAATAAATATTGTATTTTGTTGTTTCGCGGTTGCAGGCCGAGGTCGATTTTCTCGGACAGCTCCATCATCCGAATCTCGTGAAGCTCATCGGATATTGCATTGAGGACGATCAAAGGTTGCTTGTCTACGAGTTCATGACTCGCGGAAGCCTCGAAAATCATCTTTTCCGAAGTGCGTATGCGAATATAATCTCGAGCTTTGGTTACAGGCGTTTTGTTGATTCTCGTAAAAATTTAAATAGTTGTTTGATATGCATCTCATACTAATATTATTAATAATATAGGCGAAGGTAGCGTATTTAACGATCAAGTTTAGATAATTGTTCATCTTCGCATCTTACACTAATGTTGTTGTTGTTGGTGGTAAATGATAACTATGCGCGTGAAGGGACAATACCGCTTCCGTGGTCTAATAGGGTTAAAATCGCGCTCGGAGCAGCAAAAGGCTTAGCTTTCCTCCACGGTGGCGACAAGCCTGTCATTTATCGAGACTTCAAAACATCAAACATTTTGCTCGACTCCGTAAGTAACTATAGCTTTAAAAGAAGTTCAAAGTAAACAATCCAAGCTCATCGCAAAACATTGATCTCCTATTTTTTCAGGACTACAATGCGAAGCTATCGGATTTTGGTTTGGCGAAAGCCGGACCTCAAGGCGACAAAACACACGTTTCAACAAGAGTCGTCGGAACCTACGGCTACGCTGCGCCCGAATACGTTATGACGGGTATATACAATCTTACAACCACTTAAAAAAAAAATAAATTCAAGCGCAATACCGTACCAAACCAATCAGTATATACATGTCACTTAGGTCATTTGACTTCAAAGAGCGACGTATACAGCTTCGGCGTAGTGCTCTTGGAAATCCTAACGGGGAGACGGTCGATGGACAAGAAAAGACCGAGCGGGGAGCAAAATCTTGTGACATGGGCTAGGCCATATTTATCGGAAAAGCGAAAGGTCTATCAACTAGTGGACCCTCGGCTCGAGCTCAACTACTCGGTCAAAGGCGTGCAAAAAGTGGCGCAATTGGCTTGTAGTTGCTTGAGCCGGGACACGAAAGCCCGGCCTTCCATGGACGAGGTGGTTAGAGTTCTTGCGCCACTTCAAGAACTCAACGACCTCGCAATAGTTTCTTACCACGCCCGGTATGCTCAAGCCGGGAGGCGTAAGAAGAAGCCCGACCCGCCGCATTTGCTCAACGGGAGCCACCCGAAGAGCGCGAGAGATTCCCCTTTGGCGTCGGGTCGAAGCCATTGTAAGTGATCGTTGATCGACATCATCATTGGCATCGATTGTTTTTTTGTTCGAGTAAGGGATTTTTGTTGGTTTTTTTTTTTTTTGTTTACCTACGCACGCACACACTTACGCACCTGCCTGGAAATTTTCCCAAGTCAAGCACATATGCATCCATCCGGAATCGAAACCAAGACCTTTGATTTGAGTAAGGGATTCGGTTTATATATATTGCTGACTAAATATTTAGCTGTAAAAGGTTTTAAGCTGTTTACGAGTATGTAGTAATTATTTTTTGAATGTGTACTTGAAATTTTGAATGTTGTTGAAGGCCTTTTGATATTCAATATATATATAATATATATTTTATTATTTCACAAAAAATTAATATTCAATATAAAATATTATTTTTATATTAGTCATACAATTCGTTATATCTTATACAAAATTATATTTCAAACTAAAATACAATGCAAACAAAACATGCATTTTTTCAAAAATTATTATTATTTTTTTTATTTAACAAAATATCTCTTTAAACATTATCTTAAAATCAAATTCAATTTAAATTTTTTGAAACGAAATCCAAAGAAACAACGCACATTTAGTGTTTTTATTTTTTATTTTTATATTCAATATTTATAATTTATTTATTTTCTTATAAAATATTTTAGTGGAATATATATTTCCCGTTTCAATCTAAAGTATTTTTTTATTATTTTTTTTTCTCTCACTTCAAAATATTTATTTTTTATTTTATAAAAAATAATCATATACTAATATCAAAACACCATTAAATTTTACTTAATTTACAGATATATCATTATATATAATTATTTATATATGAAGTCCAAAAAAAATATAAAAAATTATTACAAATTTTTACTAATTAATAAAATATTTTTATTTTTTAATTTACTATAAAACCTTAAAAAGACTCCTTTGCTTTGGGTCCAAGTAGTATATATTAAAAAAAAAAAAATCACCAACTAACACATTTTACTTTTGATTTATCTTTTTGAACATTTTTTTGAGTTATATATATAGATTAAATTAATATTTTGATTTAATATATGTATATATATTTTCAAAAAAGACATTTTTATTGAGAATTATTAACAAAACACTAGGTGTGTTTATTTTGTATTTTGCTTTTAATTTTTTTTTTTTCTTTTAATTTTGTATGTGAAGTAAAGAGAATTTTATAGATAATATAAAAATAATAAATATGTAGTATATTAATATTTTCGTCAACCAAAATTAGATTTATAAGTCCATTAGTCAAACTTATGTTTATACTATAAGTAGATTATTTCTTTATTTATTTTTATTTTATTTTTTTTGTTACTTTTGTTAAATATTATACTGTACTGCAAACATTATTAGTCAAATATATTCTATAATAAAAAACTTTAAAAATAATTTTACATAACTTTTATTTTTATATTAAAAAAACATACTTTTTAAATCTATAAATATCTTCTTTTAGCCGATTGAGAGATTATTTTAAAATAAATTGAATTATTTTTTGTTGTGATACTCAGAATAATAAAAAAAGATAAGTTTGTTCGTCTGATATTTTTTACTGGTACGATTCTACATAAATAATATTAAAAATATAATCTGCACACATTAACATACTATTTCTGTCCAGCTATTGTGTTTGGAGAAACAAAAATTTAGGAGATATATATATTTAATCAATAATTAAGAATATATTAATAAAATAATTATTCTATAATATAAATAATTATAAATTAAAATTAAAATAACTACTCTAATTAAAAAATTATAGAAAAAAAATTAAAATAAAATTAAGGTATATAATCATTTTCAATAAAAAATAACATAAAATGTGAAACTATAAAAATTGTGAATGCATACATAATTGAAACGAAATGAGTAATATATATATTATTCATTGACAATTATAATAATTTAATAAAAAAATTATCTTTTTATATTAATAACATAATGTTCTATGCCTAACATAAAAATTTATTCATCCATAAATATAAATTAAAAAAAACCAATAGCATTATATCATGCTTCACAGCTTGAGGTCGAGGATCGAATGAACAATAAATTATATTCCTTTAGCTAAGCAATAGCAATATTCTTATCAGTGTCAAGTTCAAGCTGGAATCGTCTTGAAGGACTTTATGAGATTCTCTCTCTCTCTCTCTCTCTATATATATATATATATATATATATATGGATAAACTGTTTTTTTTAGTTTTGTAACTGGACCCCTTATAATTTTAGTCCAGCAAGTGGAGCTTGTCGCAAACTAGTCCCATAAGTAAAAAAATTTCGCTGTTTTAGTCCTCCGGCGTCGGAAACGCCCGCGTGGCTCGCCGGAGGTGACGTGTCCGCCAGGTGTCCCGCGAGATCAGCGACACCTATGGACACGTGGATTTATTTATTTTATTCTTTTTAATTTTTTTTAATTGGACCAAATAAAAAAATAAGAAAATACAAATAAAATTAAAAATAAATGAAAAATAAATTTTTAAAAAATTAAAAAATGAAAAATAAAATAAAAATCCATGTGTCCGCCACGTGTCGCTGACCTGGCGGACACGTCACCTCCGGCGAGCCACGGGCGTCTTCGGCACCGGAGGACTAAAACAGCGAAAATTTTTCACTTATTAAACTAGTTTGCGACAGGCTCCACTTACGGGACTAAAATGATAAGGGGGTCCAGTTACAGGATTAAAAAAAAAGTTTACCCTAAAAGTTAATCTAATTATTCATATATATTAGAGGATTTTAGGGCATATGACTATATGTTAACTTTGGGAAAAGTTAGGAAAGAATTGATTTAAATTTGGATTAAATTTGTATTTTAGATAAATTTGAAAAGTTATGTTCACTTTGAGTTTGGAGGTTTCATTTGAATTCCAAGGGTTTTGATATATATTAATTTGATAGATAATAAATATATTCTCTCTTAGAGCTGTTAAATGAACCGAGCCGTTAGTGAACATGGCTCGATTCAACTCTAGTAAAGCTTGTTTGCAAACATTTAACGAGTTGAAACGAGCAGCATAAATAGACTGGTTTAGTTAGCAAACGAGCTCATCTTTTTGTTTGCGAACGTTCGTTAAAATAATATATTTATTATAAATAATATATATAAAAAATTATAATATATAATAAATAAATAAAGTATTATTTTAAAATAAATAAATAAAATAATTCTAAATTTCAATTTTTAATATATATAAATTAAATGTATATAAATTAAAAAAATAATTTCAAATTAATAGGAATTTTTATTTAAATTTAAATTAAAAAATAATCTTAAATTACTACATAAAATATCACATATATATAAATATTAAAAATAAAATAATATATCAAATTAATAATTATTTATAATTCATGTATTCCTAAGTTACTCATTCTTTTCTACAACTCACACTCTTTTTTCCTTCACTCGTTAGTTCGTAGCTCGCTCAGTATACTCATTCTTTTCTGCAAATCTAGCCTGCCGCTTACACCATTTTTTCCTTCACTCGCTCGCTCGTAGCTCCCTCAGTATCCGACCGCCTCCGCCGTCATCCTCCGCCATGCGCTGCCACTGTCTTCCTTCACTGCGTGCTGCCGTTGCCAGTCGTGCCGCCTTTGAGAGCCCGTAGTCCTGCCACTAGCGTTCATTTCCGTCCAGTTTGCATGATAGCACCACCTTTGCTCGCCTCTCCTTCCACAATTTGACTGTCCGCCTCCTCCAATCCGAGCTCCACCCAGTAAATTTGTGTTTATTTTTACATTTTTTGATTTATCGATTCAATAGCTCGTTTCGACAGATATTTGGATTTATGATTTATTTTCACTGCCGAGCTCCACATTTCTTTGAATACATATGCATATATATATATATTTCAAAATAAAATTGACGATTGAAATTCACCGTCGACCGTCAAGCTCCACCGTTCTGACTTTTTCTTTATGAATACATATCGCATATGCATATATAAATATTTGGATAAATATTCAATTTGTTTATCATGAATACATATGCAAATTCCTATATCTATTTGAATAATATTCAATTTGGTTTTGTTTATCATGAATACATATGCAAATTCCTATATCTATTTGAATAATATTCAATTTGGTTATCGTAACTTTCAATTTAGATAAAGTTTCGGATGTTTTTCAGTTTTGATTTTTTTTTTAATTATGTTATGCTTTGTTATAAATATATATGTATATATATATATGAACAGAAACAAAGAAATTAATTTGTTTGTCTAACATTTTTCATATTTGTAATTGTAGCTATGTTTTAAAGTCAATCCCAACAAACTTCATCTATTGTTCCTACCATGGATTCCTCTAATCATCTTGTTGAACAAGTTCCCATTGATGAAGGTGAGGATGATAAAATGCACGAAGATGTCGATTTGGAGATTCTAGCCGATAGCCATAAAAAGAGGAAAGAAAAAAACCTGGAAGAAAATAGGGAGGCTAATAAAAAAACAGAGTCGAGCTAAGAAATCATATATGTGGCAACATATAAAGGAAATATCTCAACTTGATGGGTTACTAAAAGTGCAATGCACTCATTGTAAATGGATTTTCTCAAGAAATTCAAGAAACGAAAACTACTTACAAGCGTCATCTGGATAGTTGCATTAAAACATCCATACAATCGGATCAACAAGTTCTTTCTTTTACCACCGAATTTCATTCGGAAGGGTCAACTTCGATTGCAAATTATTGGTACGATTATACTAAGGTACATGAACTTGCATCCCGTATGATTTTGGCTCATAAATATACTTTTATGATGATGGAGCATTCCATTTTCGATAATTTTTTTAAAGCTATTTCTCAATTTTATCAAAAGATTAGTAGGCATACTGTGAAGAAGGATTGCATTACTACTTTTGAATTTGAAAAAAACAAAAGAAGTTGAAATCAATTTTAAAGGGTGTTACAAGAATTATTCTTACAATTGATTTGTGGAAGTCAAACCAAAAGGTTCGATATATGATGGTGACTGGACACTTTGTAGATGTGAATTGGATATTACAAAAGAGAGTGTTGAATTTTCATAATGTTCCACACCCACATACATGTGTTATTATTACGATGCACTTAGTAAATGTTTTACTGATTGAAAAATTGAAAATAAAGTGTTCAGTATCACAGTTGATAATGCTTCTCACAATAATATGATATAAAGAGATTGAAAGATGATTTGTTGTTGAAAAAACAATTAAGTATTAGAGGAAAAATATTTCACGTTCGTTGTTCTGCACATATTTTGAATTTGTTGGTGCAATATGATTTTAATGAGATTGGTTATGTGGTTGATTGTGTTCGAGATGAAATAAAGTATTTGTA